TTTTTTATATTTCACCAGTCTTCTTACTCACCTCCCCTCTGGCAACCACCAGTTCTCTGTATTTAAGATTCTAGGGTTTTTGGCTTTTTTTCTTTTCTTTTTAAAAATTATTCATTGTTTGCCCGTGGTTTATTTTAATGTAGTGAAAGGCCTCTCACTTTATGTCTTTTTCATGTGTGATCTAAACCGTTTTAAAAACTACTTCTGTGTGTTGACTTTGGACTTTTTATGACATCTGGAAAATACTCTCTACTTTTTTTTTTTTAACTTAAATTCCGTTAGCCAACATATAGTACATCATTAGTTTCAGATGTAGTGTTCAGTAATTCATCAGGTGCTTATAACACCCAGTGCTCGTGACATCACGTGCCCTCCTAAATGCCCATCACCCAGTTACCCCATCCCCTTCAGCATCCTGAAGTTTGATATCTATAGTTAAGAGTCTCTCACGGTTTTAAAGATGTTTTCTTTCATGGATGTAGCGGTCTCCTGTGGGGATAGACTCATGATTTGTGCAGTCCATTGTACTTTCCATGCACTTTCCTTGGTATTCAGGGCTTTTTTGCATAAATTTACTCTCCATTTTCACTCCTTTTTTGTGATTTAAAATAAAAATTTTCCCTTTCATCAATTGGGAAGGTAGGGAAACAGGTGACTTACTTCTGAAGGAAAGAGTGAATATGATTTTGGACATCTTGACTTTGAGGGGTCGGGGTTGTGCAGAGGGTAGAGAAAAATAGAAAATTTCAGAGTGAACCGGACTGTGTAGGTGTCATTTGAACGGGTATAGTGAATTATATTCTGATGGTGAGAGGATAGAGAGGGAAGAGCTTAATGCCAAGTCTGAGAATATCTGGATCCACATGTGCTCGAGTGATTTTTATTGACCTTGCCCCGAAGCATGATAGATTTTCCAATGGGGAGATCTCTAAGTTAATAGTTACTACTTGACAATTTTCTGGTAAGTTAAAAATTGGGGTTTTTAAAAAACCTTTCTCAGGCACCCTAACAGTTTTTTTGAATATTTGTGGATGAGTTTTACAGTTATAAAGTCCTACATAAGGCAGTTTCAGATAGATGAATAGTAAAACAAAAATTTTTTTAAAGCACTTTCTTTTTAATAACTGTCTCATGTAGCATCTCTTCTTATCTACCATTTAATTCTTATGATCGTCTGTGACGATTATGTCCCTTTTACAGAGGAGGCTACAAAGGCTAGGATACGGTTACTGCTCTCATAAGTAACAGAACCAAGAGTGATCCCACATTTTTTGCATTATATCTCTGCCAGAATGTGTTTTCAGGTTCAGTTTGAGAGTTTTGTGACCGAGGTGTGAAAAAAAGCAGGTTCTCTTGTTTCCTTAGGCAGTGTCACCTCAGGAAGTGTTAGGAAGCCAGAGTAACCTGCGGGGAATGTTTATAGAGTATATTGTAGGGCCTTTTCCTTTAATCATGACTGTTCTGTACCCTGTGTTTCTGTTTAGGCCAAAGGTGCAGGGTTCCAGCCAAGTGGTCATCCACCCTTCTTGAAGAAGGCCTACAACGTTTAATATTAAAGTTGAGACTGTAGCTTAAAATGTGTTTTTCAGTCATATGAGATTATACTAAGGGTTATTGTTCAGTTGCATTTTGTAGATAACACTGCCATCCTTGAGCTTTTCAAACAACAGGGAAACATTAGTGTATTTGTATGTTTTTGTTTTCATTTCATTTTTTACATTCTGGGAACCCAGACTAGTAGTCTCTGACTAAAGAGATCATCCTTTGATCCTTGACCACCTGCTTTTGTTATTATTATTATTTTTTAACCTGTGAAAAATTTGAAGCATATACAGAAAAAGGAAGAACAGTATAATCAATCAGTCCTTAGGTAACTATCACCCAGCTTCGAGAATCATCAGTGTTTTGTCTATATAAATTTAGGGCACTGAAAAGCTGATTGTGAGGGTTTAAAATGTATGGGAAACTTACTAATTGTGACTTTTTCCTCTAGGATATAATCTACCTGGGTTGTTTTGTAGGGGATGATCCACATTTTTTGAGGTCTTTTCCTCAGTAAAAAAAAAAATCTTCCAGTTTCCTGTCTCTTGCATGTTTACAGCTCCCTGTTTTCATATAGTATCGCTCCTTTTGATTACCTGGTGTCTCCCTCTCTCACTGTCTTGAGAGCATTTGCTTTACCTTTTCAGAGGATCGAACAGGGCCAGTGGTTTGTTTGTGGACTTGCATGAAATCTTGGCATCAAACTGCTTTGTGAACACTTTCTGGAGGCCCTCTTAGTTTTCATACCTGACCTTTAACCTTCCCCTTCCCAAACCGAAGTACCTGGCACTACCAGTTTTTGAGTCTTTTGGTGTTTCTGTAATGTAAATCAGGCTGCTTCTTGCCATTACTTTACTGCTGGCTTCGAGCTTTGGTTTTCCTTGGTTTTCCAAGTTTGCTAAGTCAGCTACCACTTGTCTTTCCAGCTTTTATTTTTTCTTATGCTGTCTTTGTACTTATGGTTATAGGTCTTGAAGGCACATCCTCCTAGTTTCTTTCAGTGGTTCTGCATGCATTAAATCTGTCAGCTTTCTCCAGATGTTCACATAGTATTGCTAATGCTGAGTTGTTTGGTGTAGCTGGAACATAGTACAGAGCTTGGGTTTAGGGTCAGGAAGACCAAAAGAACATCTCCTGAAGTTCAGAGCAAGGAGTGTTATTTTTATTTTAGAAAGGTAATCAGATGAGATCGGGTGCGTTCAGAGTGGTATGGCCGTAGACATAAAAAGGTAATCAGGGTGCCAGTGGGGGCAAGGTTTGGAATGGAGTAAAACTAAGGTCAAGGAAAGTAGTTGCAGACTTTCGGTTAACCATGAAGGAGATGATGTAGATCTGAAGTAAAAACTATAGAGAGAAGGGAAAAGATTTGAAAAATATTAGACAGAATGAAGGATTGTTTAGATGTTGGGTGAGTAAGAAGAGGAACCAGGAGGTGGTTGAGATACCATTTAGCGCTAAGTAGATAGTGGTTCAGGTCACTTGAGTTTGGAAATGCAGGGAGAGGAACCAGTTTTAGGAAGACAGTGAGTTGGTTCAGTGGTCCATTTAAGAGTTTGAGCTGGCTTCTGGATGATGATGTTCTGTAGCTATTCACTGCGTTTGGAGTTCAGAGATTGAGGGTTGGAGGTAACAGATTTGGACATTTTCAGCATGCAGATGGCACAGGAGAAGGCAGTCAAAACAATACCCTGGGGAATGCCAATATTTAGGGGGTATTCTTTTTTTCCCCCCCAAACCTAAAAAAAAAATATAAGTATAAATTCACAGGCTGTTGCAAAGATAGTACAGAGCATCCTTCACCTCATTTTCCCTTTTGTCTTATGTAATTATAGTATAGTATGATTTCTGCCCCTTGAAGCATTTCTGATAATTTTAATAACTGTTGAATTTACTTTTGAGCTTTTGTAGTATTGTAGACAGTGTCCTCTTGTGATTATTTCGTAGTGTTGCAGACTGTGTTTTGTAGAGTATAACTGTGGGCCAAGAGAATGTTCAAATTTATTTAAAGCTGACTATCTGGGATTGGACACATTCTTCAGGCCATTAGACTACAAGGGTGAATGTCTTCAGGCTTTGACCCGAGAGAGTCTTACATGTTTAGCAGTTGCTTACTTTGATATGTCTAAAGCTAGCATCTTGTGCTTATTGGATGTGTGCTAAGTAAGTAGATGGATTCTAAGTTTTCTAGGAAATTTTAAGTCTACTTGATAATAAAAATGAACTTGACTGGTTTATCTTAATGTTCTTTGTGTTGTTCTATTAAAGATTGAATTGTAGAGACTGAAATTAAACTAAATTTTAAAATCCAGTATACTACTTTGTTAATTGTGACATTTTAATAATTCTCTTTCTTTAAAAACATCTTTAATGAGGTCTTTCAACTGATTTTTAGTTACAGAAAGGGTCAACCTTTTTAAAGGATTAAACTTTATGTATTTCCACTGAGGTAACTGCCCCACTAATAAAGATGGAACTCAGTATAAGATAAATACGTGTAGAAATTGTTGCACTGTAATTTATTATAAACTGTATTGATATTTGAATTATTTCCTAAATAAGGGAGGTGTTTGATACTTTATTGGTTTCCTTTCTGTGTTTATCAGATTACAGAGATTATTATGGATCAGAAATTGACTTTTTATCCGTTTCATTTTCTTGTAGAGCACTTAGACTTAGTGTGCTTCCCTGAGTCAACCTCTGTAAGACAGTTACTAGGCAAATTAGAACTTGAGATAAAACCCCCTCTTCTTCCTCCATCTTTGTGTTCTTGGGTCAGTAATACAAGCAAAAATTGTTCATTTAAAAAAAAAAAAAGCTTACAAAACCAAAGAAAGAATCTCCTCTTTTACCCTCTCCCAGCATCCTTTTCCCCTTCCCATATTTAATTAGTGTTAATTTTTTCTATATGCTCCCTAGAAACATTTTTATGCATATATCTCATATGCATATAGATAGATATTTTAAAAAATTCTTGGACCTTGTGCAATTGTTATACACATACTTTGCGCCCTTTAAATCCAGTTAGTAATTATTTTTGAGGTTGTTTTCATTCCATGCCTAATCCTTTTTCATTGGCTGCTCAGTATTCTGGAATATGAATGTACTGTGATACGGTTATTTTACTGATGAACATTTTGATTGGGTTCATTTAGAGATGATTTATAGAATTTAATATAGCAGTGTTAGTACTTCTTAAGTAGAGAAGAGAAATTATATGTGGAATCTCTTAAAACGAACAGATGTTTATAGCCTCGGTGTATATGGTTTTATTACCATTAGGCAATTGAATAGTATTTTTTTGCTACTTGCTGTTCAGTTGTAAACAGAACTAACCTTGTTTTAGAAGTGCTGTAGTTAGGACCATCCCAGAAAATCTCATTGATTTATTTTTTATAAGTTTGTTTTAGGACCTTTTTATATGATAGGTTATTTTTTTGGTGGGGGTGGGATCTCAGAGTGTCTTATGTTAAGTTTTATTTATACTTCCCATAGGGATTAGGAGCAGACAGCAAGAACCTGTACCCTTTCCTGCTCCCAGTTATTCAACTGAGTACAGATGTTTCCCAGCCTCCACATGTTTATCTTCTGGAAGATGGTTTAGAATTATGGTAAGAGGAAAAATTTGATACCCTGGACTTCCCCCCACCCCAAGCCTTCCATACTCTCATGCCAATAAAGCAAAGGTCATGTAACAGGGCTTAAAAATTCAGCATTTAAAAATAAAAACATGAAATCACTTTCCCTGAACTGGGTAATATAATAGCTCCATCTATTCTTGGCAGCTGTCACTCAGTGTGTAGGCCCTTAGTAGTCAAAGTTCAAAGGGAAAATTTCAGTAAGAACTTGGCTGCATTTAATATTTGCGAATTTGAAATGTAAAATGGGGAGAGCGCAATAAATTTTCAAAACTAAAAATGACTTAAAACTTGCAGCCTGTTAAATGGGATGTTTTGGGGGGTGTTACGTTATTTTTCAGCCTCTTACTACCTTACCCAGTAAGTACTGAGATACTATACCTCAGCCCCAAATGCTGAGGCTACTTAGTCTTGACTTGACTAATTATTTTACCAAGTGAGTAGTATGTCGTGTTGAAAAGTAAAACGGAAAAACTCTGTTTCTGAGGTGGCTCCGTACCACAGACCTATAGTAACTGACCACTATGTAAGGAACTGTGCCAGAACATAGAAAATCCTTTTGCTTTACTAAGCTTATCTTATGCATAGCAGCAATTTTCTGCAGGGCCGATTATAATACAGGAAAGGCTTAAACATTCTGATATATAAACTGACTATTGAAATTAAAAAACGAAAATCACAGAAATAACCATAGAAAAAGTGAACATTTCTGGTTTTCTTTCTTCCTCCTCTCTCTTCCTCCCTTCGTTCCTTCCTGCCTTAGTGTTTTCTTAGACGTTTAGGAATGAACATTTTTTTGATTTCTAGAAATTGGTGCAAATTATAGATTAATGATCTATAGCAGAATACTACATGAACAGTTTTAAAACAGGTAGATACTCGGGGCGCCTGGGTGGCTCAGTTGTTAAGTGTCTGCCTTCGGCTCAGGTCATGATCCCAGGATCCTGGGATCAAGCCCCTCATCAGGCTCCAAGCTTAGAGGAAAGCCTGTTTCTCCCTCTCCCACTCCCCGTGCTTTGTGTTCCCTCTCTCACTGTGTCTCTCTCTGTCATATAAATAAATAAAATCTTTAAACAAAATAAAAGTAAAACAGGTAGATACTCAATTCACAAGTTGGGTTTCTCACATTTTCTGGGTTATGTTGTTTGAACTTAAACGACTTTGGATGGTTTGATTGCAAATTAGCATGTGTTGAATCCTTTTATATTCATATATTTTTATTTGTACAGGATGGATTACTCTAGATCAGATGTTGGCATACTTTCTCTATAAAGGAGCAGACAATAAGTATTTTAGGCTTTCCAGGCTACATGTTCTCTTATCCTAACTATTCACCTCTGCTGTTTTCGTGCCAGAGTAGTCACAGGTAGTATGTAAAATGGCTGTGCTCTGGTAAAACATCATTTACAGAAATAGAGTGTGGGTTGAATGTGACCCACGAGCTACAGTTTGCCAATCCCTACTCTAGATTATAAATTAAAACAGTCTCTGGCACATTTCTGAAAACATGTATCTATATGATGTTAACTATTAGAAAAACTAAAATATTAGCTATAGTAATGAGATAGACTCAGATACTTAACAATATATTAGCGTATATGTATATATATTAGTAGACTTAGTATATTAATGTGTTTATTAAAGGTCTATAGATTTTTTTAAGGATTACATGAACAGGTAATAATAAAAGTCCTTGCTCTGTTAATAGTGATCTTTTTAGTTATATGTAAACAAAATGAAATCATTAGAATACTTGAGAATTTTTTTTGCTTTTGTTTTTGTTTTGCCAAATTGCAAAGAGTACAAAGAGGTGAATTTGGCCCGTGGAGATGATAGAAGGGGTTTCAGTAAAATGGTAAGAATAAGTTAGAATTGAAATTATTTAAGTACAGACTGTGAGCATTGACAACTTCGGGAGCATTTACTATGAAGAGGAGTGTAGAAATTGGGCAGCAGTTGGCTGGTGTGGGGGAATGCAGGGTCTGGAGGGATGGATGAGCCTCAAGAGTGATATAATTGGAGGCAAGAAGGGATGGGATTTAGCCTATGTAGGGTTTTTTTGTTTGTTTGTTTGTTTAAATAGCATCGGGGATACTTCATTTTAACTGGAGGCAGGAAGATGGATTTTTGTATTACAGTGGGATGAGATAGGAAGGTGCTCGATCAAATAGATACATTTTCTCAACTAAATGTGAACTGTAGCCATCAGCATGGTGTTAACGGCTGGAGTTGAAGTCTGTATAAGATACGAGGGATTTGTGGAGAAAAAAGATGTAAAATAATTATCTTGGAAAATGGGAATTTGAACTTACTAGGGATAATCAGTAGCAAGAGATGTTTGTGGTCATATATACCAAGTAAAATTCTTCAGACTGATTATGTGGGTTTTTTTCCCCATCAAGTTTATTCCCCCACTCTTGATCTAACATGCTAGAGACTTGTCAGTGTTAACTGGTCTTCTCAAAGAACCAACCTTTGGATTTGATTCTCTTTGTTGTATTTTTGTTTCCTGTTTATTAATGCTCTTATATTTATCATTTCCACTTTCTACTTTTAAGTTTTTGTCATATGACCTACCTTCTGAGATTCGGTTCGGTAATTTTTTTTTCTTCTTTCCTAATATGAACATGTAATACTATAAAATATTTTTAAGCAGGATTTGAACAAACTTTGCATGTGAACAAACCTGCATAAACAGGTTTGTTGTTCTTTTTTTTTTTTTTAAAGGAAGTATATAGGGTAATGGAGACTGGTCAACAATAAGCATCAGCTATATACCATTAATTGTAATATGCTCTTCATTATTAAAAAAAATAAAAACAAAAAACTGGTTTGATTGCCTTTTGCCATCCCCTCATGAGATTTAGAACCTTAAAACAAACAAACAAACAAACAAAAAACCCAAAACCTCTCTCTTTAAAAAACTGATTTCCTGAAATAAACTTTTCTTGCTAGGGTGAATTCTACTTTTAATATGTCATACAAGTCTGTTTTCTGGTATTTTATCAGATTTTATTTTTTCCTTTAATTATAAATGAGTTGGATTGACAGTCCATATTTTGTGATACTGATTTCATATCACTGTCATGTTTCTTTTACCAATTTACCAGTTTTTAAAAGTGATTTTTTTTTTTCATACTGGAGTGATCTCTATAATACAGTAACTCGTTGGATGATTTGAAAATTTAGTAATAAAGGGAACTGAAAATGGATTCATGGCAGTGGCTGTGGACTCATTCATAGTTTGGTAATATTCTGAAGTTGTTTCTTAGTTGTTAGTTTATACATACTTGGGTTTTGATTTTCCATGTCTGTTACACTTTGGGTACTTAATACCTTAAGATACTAATAAAAAAAAAACCCTTACATTCATTTGCCTTATCTCTGTTATTTGCAGTTTTATTTTTGTTTTACCTCTTTTTAAAGTACATTTATTAGAGATTTTTCTTTTATTAATGTGAAAGAAGTACATGTTAGATTTTATGAGTTTTCCTATGTTTCTGTCCTTTTATTACTTTATTTCTCCTTCAGATTTTTTACTTTCCTACACATAGCTGGGTATATTTTCTTAAAGCTATAAAAAATTGTTACTTTATTACCTTTGTTTTTCTTAAGTGCTAAAACATGTAAAGCTATGAATTTGTCTTGGCTTATAACTGCCTATTTCCCTAAAGTCTTGATATATAATGTCCTGTTTTTTATTTTGGTGGTAGCATTATGGATTTTTAATGTCTCCTTTGACTCAGTCTCATTTATTTTTTGCTGGTACTAAAGTATATGATTGAGGTCTGGACTTACTGCATTGTAAATACAACATATCACTTGTTCAATTTTTTAAAAATTAATATGAATTTTAATGACTATAGGCTTTGCTTTTGTAGCATATTCATATCAATAGTAATGATGATACAGAAGATGCAGACTTTATTCTTTCTAACTAGTGGGTTGTATAGTTCAAATCAGTGTTTTACTTTTTAATTTTGACACTGGTTTATTAAAATACCCATCTAATTTTCTTGTGTCAGTGTCCCTTTTTATTTCTAGCATTCTTTTTTTTTTTTAACTGGTCAATATGGTTTTATTTCAGTATTTCATAAACTTTTAAAAAGAATCATGTAAAAAACAAACATTTCCAAAAGTGCAAAATAGTAGAAAGCTAATCGGTGCTATTAATCTTTCCATGCAGACAATCTCTTGCTGAGCTAAGCAATACAAATTCTGTAGCAGGGAATACGTATAAAATGATACTCTGCAGATTTTAAAAATAGGCTTGGTCAAGAGATTGCACATGATACAACTGAAGTAGTGCAAATAATATACAGCTAAGAATTTAAATCAAACTTACTATCCTGTGTACTATACAACCATGATGATACCATAGGTGGAGAGACAAGATATAAAGCTCCTTTACAGTTTCCTGCCCCTCACCATCAGAAAACTATTTCTAGCATTCTTGATCTGTAACTTGTAAAAGATATTATTCACTGCACAAAATTTTGGTATTTTTGTATACTGTTAAAATATTTAATAAATAAACACAGTATTTAAAATTTAAAATATTTTCATGAAGCATCATATGTAATAGGTATGTATTCATTGATTAACTTTTCACCTTTTAATTATTTTGCATTTAAATTTTATCTGCTATATCATCATATGGTTTATTTAGATTTGACTTATCTGTTCAAGATTTACATGTTAGCTTTTCTGTTTGAAATTCACTTGTGTTTCCTATAGTTCAAATTTTTATATTTTGTATTTTAACTTAACCAGAGATGCTTTACCTCAAAAGAACTTTCATGCTCTTATATTTATTTGTTGAATTGATACACCTGTCTTTTTACCTGATGCTCCATGTTTCCTATATTTTTTGTTGAAGGGTAACATTAAAATTTACATTTCTCTAGTGAAAGATGTTGGTACATATAACTTGTCTAATTATTCATCAGAATAGTAACTTGTCTCTTTCCTAAGTGCTTTGACTTTGTCGCTCTTTCTTCCTTTCTAATTCTTCATTTGAAGTTGGAGTAAAATGCTGTCATTTTATTTTTAAGTACTTTAAACTTTTCAAGATTTTTTTCCTTTTTAAAATGCTACAGCTTATGTTGTGGAAACGAGCATAGGTAGTGAGACTGACAGTGATCTGAATGTCTTTTTACTAAGGTAATGACATTGGGAGGGAAAAATTCATATGGAATTTTAATTTGGATCCAATGACAGAGTTTGAAACATCTTCTGAGATTTAGAATGTGCCCATCAGTTTTTTTCTCACTGAAATATCATGACTGGATTGTGGTTTTTCTTTTGATTTCATTGTTATTTTAAAGGTGAATAGGATAAAATTTTTAAAGTCTTTTCTTTTGTTTTATTCTTTAAAAATGGAATCAAATCCTGTTCTTGTTGATCCGAGTTAAAGTGTCTATAAAAATCATTGCTTGTATATGTGGCACGTACTTCATTTTTGGGGTGGCTGGTTTCTCATGTCCCCCTTCCTCTTACCAATTTGGCATTTAAAATTTGTGAAATAGGGGCCCCTGGGTGGCTCAGTCGGTTAAGCGTTTGCCTTCAGCTCAGGTCATGATCCCAGGGTCCTGGGATCGAGCCCCACGTCGGGCTCCCTGCTCTGCAGGAAGCCTGCCTCTCCCTCTCCCTCTGCCTGCTGCTTGCCCTGCTTGTGCTCTCTCTCTGTCAAATAAATAAGTAAAATCTTAAAAATAAAGTAAAATTTGTGAAATAGTTCACAGATTAATAGGAAAGTCATATTATTTGTAAATATTTATAACTTACATAAAATGAAAATACATTTCCTGTACCCTCGTTAAGAAATGGGATAGTAAGAATGTCTTTGAAGCCCATGGTATGGCATGTTTGTTGAATTCTCCTGTTTTCATTTCAGGGATGACCCACTGTACCAATTTTTTGTTTTGTTTTCATTCCTTGGTTTTCTTTCTTGTAATGTTTTTAAAATCACGTGTGTGTGTGTGTGTGTGTGTGTCTTTTTAAACAGTGTATTCTAACTTCATATAAATTTTCTAGCTTGTGTTCTAACTTGCTTATTTTTTTTTTGCTCCCTGTTCTAAGATTGATCCATATTGATGAGTTTAATGGTATGAATGTCACAATTCATATACTCACACATCATTTTGGTTGATGTTCAAATAATGCAACTGAACATTTTGTACATGACAATGTATGCAGATGTATGAGACCTTATTCACTAGGTCATAGGTGTGTGCACATATACATATTTGACTTTTTCAGATAATAGTTACTTTCCAAGTGATGAGACCAGCTTCCTCCCACCGGCAGTGTGCAAGAGTTCTCATTGTTCGTAGCTTTGCCAATACCTGTTATGTCAGACTTTGGAAATTTTGCTAATCTGGTAGGGGTAAAAGTGTACCTTGTTTTTGGTTATATTTTACATTTTCTTGATTAATAGTTCAGTATCTTCTTACATTTTTTATAGTCAGGTTTATTGACAGTTTTTGGATGGATCCTCTTTGGAATGCTGGTTCATGTGCTCTCTACATTTGTATTCTATTAACCTCTTGGGTATATTCCTTTGGACTGTTCCCTTTTCAGTTATATGTATTGGAAACAATCTTCTCCCAGTATGTGACTTACATTTTGACTTTTTTTTTTTTTTTTTAAAGATTTTATTTATTTATTTAATTGACAGAAAGAGAGACGGTGAGATAGGGAAAACAAGCAGGCTCCCCTTGGAGCAGGGAGCTTGATGCGGGGCTCGATCCCAGGAGCCCGGGACCATGACCTGAGCCGAAGGCAGATGCTTAACGACTGAGCCACCCAGGCGCCCCACATTTTGCCTTTTTTGAGGCATCTTTTGATACACAGTAATTGTTAACTTTAATGTAATCATATTTATCTCTTTGTTCCTTAATCTTTCTTTAACTTAAAGCTCTAATTATGTTCTCCTCACGTTGTAAAATAAAGACTTGCCCTTCCCATATAAAACTCGAGTTAATTTCTGTATTTCGTGTGAGGTAGAGGCCCAGTAGCTCACCACCAGTGACTGAATTGTCCAACCTTTTCTTAACCTGGGAGCTGCCTCTTTCATAAACGAGCAGGTCTGTTTCTTGTGTTACTCTGTTTACCATATTAAATACATGATTTTATAGTAAGCCGTAATATGTGGTAAAAGAAGTCCCCCCCCACCCCCCATGTGTTTTTTTTTTTTCTTGGCAAATTTCTTGTTTGTTCTTGGTCATTTGCCTTCCAATGCATTTTAGAACTCAGCTTTTCTAATTTCTAGGGAAAAGCCTGTGGGGATTTGAATGAAGTTTTGATTCTGTATAGCAATTTAGAGAGAATTGACATCTTTATGGTGCTGGATTTTTATATCAGTGACTCTTAGAGTAAGATCTATTTAAATCTTAGGTATTTGTTTTGATGTATAGAAATTGAGCTGATTTTTATATACAGTGTATTGATATATTCAGCAACATTGTTGAAGTCTCTTAGTGATTAAAGTACTTTTTTATGAATTCTTTCTCCCTCTCTTTTCTGTCAGTCATATCTTCTGTGAATAAAGACTATTTAACTTTTTCCTCTGTCTTGTGTCTTTTATTAATTTATTTGGCATATCATGCGAGGACCCCTCCATACATATACTCAATAGATGTGAAGGTAGACAAGGTAAAAAAGTAGAGGATATTTTTTGAGGTGTGATTGTGTTTTTCCAAGAGAATGGTGTCAAGTGTCATCATTAGGTGTGTTTTCTACAAGTGTTTGGTGGGTACTCTCTTACCAGATTAAGGACTTATTTCTGTTCATAATAGGATAAGAGTTTTGATAATGAATGTTAGATTTTGAATAGGATCCCCTCCTCTTTTCTTGCAGCTGTTTTGACAATCATGTTTTTTCTCCATTAACCTCTTGGGTGGGGAGTGAGGTGGTAAACCAGCTGCACACTTCTGTGATAAACTACAACCCATATATATTTTATTTTTTATACATTGATTCATATTTCCCAGTGTCTGTTGAAAGGACACATGAATAATGTGACAGAAAAATAAAAACAAAGCAATTTTTGTTTCTCCTTGACCATAATCATGCCTTTGCTTTATCATTATAATTTTATTGTAAATATTTTAGTATGTAGTTACTTCCCTTACTATTTTTGCTGTGTATATAGAAATCATAATATATGGTTTATAGATGGGTTTTAAATTTTGACAGATTTGGTAATTTTTTTCCTAGAAAGTTAACTTTCATAACTTTGTGTATTGTCCATTTTTCTTTCTTCTTTAGATGGGACAATTTTAGTAAGTTGTATTGTTAACAGCTTAATGGTTATAGAAAGAGACTTAATCATCTGTTTTTCTTCCTAGGTTAGTGACTTTGGAAAACAGCCCATGTGTTACACCAGAGTTGCTTCGTATATTTCAGAATATGTCCCCACTTCTTGGTATGTGTGAAAGTGTAAAACACAATACTGTTTTTGAATGCAGCGATAATTTGGGGCCTAATAGGTGACTTTAAATTATACCTTCCATTTTTACAGAAGTTCCTCATATTCACAAACAAATTTAATAGTGTTTTAATAGTTTTTAGATATGTTTCCAATAACTTTTTAGAACCATTTCTGCTTATTAAAGAGTAGACACTAAATTTACTAAATAACTAAAAACAAAAAAGTGTTCTTGGAAAATTAATTCCGTATTAAGTTTGAACTTTGCCTGATAAAGTTTTTGTTTCATAGCAGGTTCTATAAGGTATTTAAAAGACTGTATTGTAAAGCTGCTTCTGTATACCATGGTATTATCCAGTTTCCTTTACAAAATGATTTTATGCTGTTACTTGTTCACAAATGAGCTCTGTACGTATTTCTGATTTAGCTAAGGTACCAACAACATGAAGACTATTAAATATTGGCAGATCATATTTATTGTTTAAGTATTACTGATGTATAGAGATGCAAAATCATGAAGTGTAATATTCTAGAAGCCTCATTTGTGGCACTTGGGATGGGAGAACTGGACACTGTGCCGGGAGTGGGGCCTTAGTCTCTTTGGCCACCTTGGATGAGATCTAATTAGGTTTTTTTTTCCAATCTGAACATGTTTTCTGATGATAATTAATACTAGAGAATACTTTCCTGTTACATGTCACTTACCATTCATAAGTATGTAATACCTTACATTTTAAAAAACATAATATTTTGTTTATAGAATTGTTTTGTGAGGGATTTTACCAGTGGATATTCACATTTAAACTCTCTTGGAATAATATAAGGATTGTATACAGTGCTGTTTATGGGCCTTTATGATTCTTTTTCAGTCTGCAGAATACTATAATTTATAAAATGTAAAAATTCAGTTTTTTGCATTCATAGTAACCATTCTTCAAGAGTGATCTATGAAACATTTTTAATTCCTTCATTAGAACTTTGTGTCTACTAAATATTGTCGGGAGAGGGCATTTACAGCAATATCTGAAGACTTTTTTTTCCCTGGGAATTTATTTGTAGTGAGTAGTTTTATTAGAGGAAAATATTACTGAGGTATAATGTTACACCAGAAAAGTAGATTTACTTTTTCACAGATCAACAAATGTGGACTAAAACACTATTATAACTGATTAGAAAACATCTCATTTGTTGGATGGTCATAGTGGGTAGATAATGTAATTAGTCCTTCACATTTTCTTTATTTTCTATTATTTTCCCCCATTCTTCAGAATAGATCTCAAATAATACCGAAATACCATCTGTTTTCTGATAAAGAGCCACTTGCCATTTATCATCTAGTGTCCCTATAAAATTGTTGGAAAAAAATCCCAGAGATGAAGACTGTGGCAATAGACCAGTCACTTGTTGCTAGTCTTCTAAAAAAGTTTTATCTTTCTTTAAGAAACCATAGGGAAAGATAGTGGAAAATGTCCTTTCACTCCTTTAACTCTGGTGAAGGCCTTTTAATTGTACTCCTCCTAACTTGGAGACCAAATACAGTGTCATTTGGGGTAATCCATAGTGCTTCTTTGTACTTGACCTAGGAATAGAAACCTCAGCCAGAGCCATTGTCAACTTTGTCATGAACAGGATTCAGCCATTTGCACTTATGGGTGACTTTATACAGTGATTTCACTTTGCCTCTGTTATTTGACCCCAAATTCAGGATGCCTCACCTTTACAGTGTAACAAGAGAAGGATTTGTAGACAGGAAAAAGAGACTTAAAAAGTATTGACTAGCCCTACTAAGGCTTTATGACACTATTTTGAGTGTAGATTTAGGTAAGCACTGTAGTACAGTTTAACCATAGAAAGCTATGTAGTTGATGCATAATCCTTACAAATCAGTAAGGACTTCTGTGTATTTAGAACAGTGTCTGGTGGGGCACCTGGGTGCTCAGTCGGTGAAGCATCCAACTCTTGATTTCGGCTTGGTCATGATATGAGGGTCGTGAGATTGAGTCCTGCATCTGGCTCCACCCCCAGTGGGGAGTCTGCTTGAGATTCTCCCTCTCCCTCTGGTCCTTTCCCTGCTTGTACAGGTGCGCACACATGCACATGCTCTTTCTCTCTCTCTAATAAAAGTAAATCTTTTAAAAAAAGTGTCTGCCACATAGTAAAGATTATTTGTTTTGCAATTATATGTGTTACTATTACTGTTAATATTACTGCTATTTTAAAAGAAAAAGCAACCACAGTCAATGAAGGATTTGTTACTTAACTAAATCAAGAATTACTAAAATTTCATCCTTGTGATAATTGATACTAGATTTAAGCTTTTTTGATATTCAAAAATTTTAAAAATTCTGTATTTTACAGATAGTAACAGTGAATATAGATTATATGGAAGCTATTGAATTAGTTTGTTTCCTGCTTTCTCTTTGAAAACAAACATTGTAATTTGTTTTATGCATTATGGTATGTATATTTGCTTCGATAAATGAAGAAATTCTGTTTACACATTATATCTGTGCATGTTTAGTATACCTTGACAGCAGTGTTACCTTTATTCTTGAGTATCATATTCTTGAGTCTCACAAAACTAATTTTTACATGTAACATTTTGCATATACATTATTTTATATTAGCTTTAGAATTTATTTTGAAATATAACCAGAATATTTATTTTAATCTTTTAAGAATATAAATCAAAATGAATACTTACTTTTCTTATCAGTGAAAACATATTCTTTGTCATTATATTCATGATTTTTTAAAAAATTATTGAATATGATAGCTATTACTTTTTTATAAGTAGAAATAAAGCTGTTGGCAGGAATTTTCTCATTTTCATGAGGGGGGGAATCGGAGGGGGAGACGAATCATGAGAGACTGTGGACTCTGAGAAACAAACTGAGGGTTTTGGGGGGGGTGGGGGGATGGGTTAGCCTGGTGATGGGTATTAGAGAGGGGACGTACTGCATGGAGCACTGGGTGTTATATGCAAACAATGAATCATGGAACACTACATCAAAAACTGATGTAATGTATGGTGATTAACATAACATAATAAAAAAATAAAGTTAAAAATAAATAAAATACATAAGACCAACAGTATTGAATACTATTTAGATGTTTAAGTTAATGACTTTTAAGATATGTTAAGTGTGTGAATAAATACAAGGCTAAAATTCATTTTATATCCTTTTTCCTAAATGTAAGTAGAACCAGAGGAATTTAAAGTAGAACCAAGGGGCACATGAATGGCTCAGTCGTTAAGCATCTGCCTTCAGCTCAGGTCATGGTCCCAGGGTCCTGGGATCGAGCCCCACATCGGGCTCCCTGCTCTGCGGGGAGTCTGCTTCTCCCTCTCCCACTCCCCCTGCTTGTGTTCCTGCCCTGGCTGTCTCTCTGTCAAATAAATAAATAAAATCTTTAAAAATTAAAAAAAAATAAAAATAAAGTAGAACCAAAAGCTATCACTAAAAATAATTCTGATAACTTCTAAGGGCTTGTTTTTAAAATCCTTTAAATCTGTTTTATAGTGTTAATTTACTTAGTATTCTCATTACTTTTTTTTTTTTTAAGATTTTATTTATTTATTTGATGGAGGCAGACGGTTAACGACTGAGCCACCTAGGCGCCCCTGATAGTTTTTTATTTATAATATAGTTTTTTTATTATAATTATACATTTTTAAGAATATTTTTTATGTGTAAGTTCTTACAGGAGAGCAGATTGAAGACGAGTCCAAGGATTGAGAATTATCTAAACACAGTATTAAAAGTTTTTGGAGTGTAATAGGACTCTTTTCATAAGTAGTGTAGCATATCCAGTGCCAGTGCAGTAGCACTCAGTAAATGCTTATTGAGTGAACCATTTAAGCACATGTAAAAATATGATGGTAAAATGATTCAGTTCCAGGGCGCCTGGGTGGCTCAGTCGTTAAGTGTCTGCCTTTGGCTCAGGTCATGATCCCAGGCTCATGGGATCGAGCCCCACATCGGGCTCCCTGCTCCGCGGGAAGCCTGCTTCTCCCTCTCCCCCGATGGTATTCCCTCTCTCGCTGTGTGTGCCTCTCTCTGTCAAATAAATAAAATCCTAAAAAAAAAAAAAAAAAAATTCAGTTCCTTGTCGTTTACCATGCTGGCACTAGAAATGTAGTTTGAAGTGAAAATTTGGTATATATGATTATGTGCTTGTTTTCTGAAAGGAATAAAAAACCTGGGAGCTTAATTTTTTTCCCTAAATTAACTAGTGTCAGGTATATGGGGAAGTACTCAGTTATAGGTTGATGTCAGTTTTTAGGTAGCTGTTTGTATCCCAGTAGTCTGAACAGCACTCAAAAGGTTTGTAAAGAGCTGTATATAACTTAGTTTTAAATAAAGTGCTTCATTTAAACTGATTTTGAACATTGAATTAACCTGTCCTTTTTAAAATAAATTCTTTGGCAGAACTAAGTTCAGAAAATCTCAGAACCTGCTTTAAGATCATCAATGGTTATATCTTTTTATCATCAACAGAATTTCTACAGGTATGATGTACTAGTTTTTGCATTGTAAAAATTTATGTAGTTCATACTTTGTTTCTCATTTGAAATCAAGCGGTACCTTTTAAATGAAGATTGATCAGTTACTTGAAGGGGAGAAAAAAACTTTATAAGCACTGTAGGGCAGATGTGATGCAGTTCCATGAACTGTTACTTGATACAAAAAGTATCTCTATAAATAAACACAGCCTTATATTTCTGTAAAAATCAGTATCACAGTAAACTGTATTTTTATCTTCTAAGCTTTTTCTAGGAGTTCTAATTGAAACTTTATATGCTTAGACCTTAAGTATATAGTTTTCAAAAAGATTGTAATGCGTTCCAAATTTAATTTTTGCCTGTTTTGATACTGTAAATACATGTATATTTTGACTTTTGATTGAATTTCAGACATATGCAGTGGGTCTCTGTCAGTCCTTTTGTGAGCTGCTAAAGGAAATTACTACAGAAGGTCAAGTTCAAGTACTCAAGGTATTGTCATATTTTAAATGAATATTGTAAGTTTTTCATCTGTATTTTGTGAAATTGGACCTACATTTGGGTTTGGTTGATTGTCAAGGAGAAGAGTACTTCTAGACAGTATTTTCTTTTAGTGGTAATCAATTACTATAATTCTGGACCAGGGGTTTCAAATTTGAATGTGGATACAGATCTGAGGATGTTGTTAAAATGTGGATTCCACATTTCTGACAAGGTCCCTGCTGATGGTATCCTAATCAAGGTCTATCTCCCCACCCCATCCTGAGACCTCACTTTTAAGCAAGGCTTTAAAAATGTTTATGAATTGTCCAAAGGCTGGTGACATGTGATACTTCTCACTGCTCCAGTTGGTTAGCCTACTTTTGGGAAGAAATTTTATTATAATTTGGGACTTTTAATTTGTGTTGGCATCATAGTTATACTATGAAACTTGTATAGATTGAGTATGATTTAGAGCCATAAATCATATAAAATCATTATGTTGTATACCTGAAAATAATATAATGTTATGTGTCAGTTATACCTCAATTAAAAAAAAACTTTAAAAAATAAGCTCTGAGTTAATGTTTATGCATTATATCTTTGTAGATTAAGGATATATATTATCTTTATATATCGTATATCATTGTGTAGAATAAGAACAGGCTCTGAGTTGTATATATTTATGTATTAAAGATATAAATAGTGTTAATGAAGTATATATTTATAAACATAAGTGTATTTATAAATTTATATGAAATATATATTTACATGTATATGTATACACATATACATAAGTGCTTTATGTTTGTACTTTGCAAGAAGATGTAGCTGTTAACCCTTCCTGCACTCCCCCACTTCCCTGATTTCTTAGCTGTGTTCTAAGTCAGATATGGTCAGATATGCAAGATGGTTAGGTGTAGTGTTAATTATCATAACAAAGTTGCATTTATCGTATGAGAATGATGGCATTTCTTTAGATCCTAAAAACTATATTGATTTACTCCCAGTGAAATTAAAAAGTCTTTGCCCAAAGAGGTTCATTGTAAGAAATGTATAACTGACCTTGAACAACACAAAGGTTAGAGTTGGAGACCCTCTGCACATTGAAAATCCAGGTTTAACTTCTGACTCCTCATAAACTAAACTACTAATACCCTGCTGTTGACTGAAATCTTAAACATAAACAGTCTATTAACACATATCTTTTAAGTTATATGTGTTATATACTGTATTCTTATAAGAAAGTAAGCTAGAGAAAAAATGTTAAGAAAATCATGAGATAAAATGAAAAAAAAAAACTCATGAGAAAATGCATATCTAGTACTGTACTATATTGAAAAAAATCTGCATATATGTGGACCTGTGCAATTCAAACCCTTGTTCAAGGGTCAGCTGTATGTAACTAATCACAATAATTGTCATAGTAATCCACAGTATATTTGGGGGACTAAGTGGGTAAAAGTTTGTGCATATGGTAGAGTCTTCTTTTGTATTAACCACTGTGATAGCTGCTATACATCTAATAAGAGTAATCATCAGTTTGAACTTATTCAAGCGTTATAATATTTAATGTGTTGTTCTTCAGATATTTATTGTGCACACGCACAAATAAAACTCCAGATATCTGTGTTACAATGCTTGTTAATTCGACTTTCAAATTGGTTGCATTTGGTATCTTTGGTCATTATTCATTTATTCACCGTATAGGTTATGAGTCAGCAAACTTTTTCTGGAAAGGACCAGGTAGTAAATGTTTTAGGCTTTGTGGGCCATACAGTCTTTGTCTCCACTATTTGTATCTGCTGTTGTAGAATTGAAAGCAGTTATAGATGATAAGTAGATGGATGAGTGTGGCTGTATTTCATTAATGCTTTATTTACAGAATTATGGCATGGACATAGTTTGCCAACCCTTGGGATTAGTATTCAGTTTTCAGTTATAAAGTGATCAGACAGAGAGGCATCTATAATTAAAGAGTTTGTATGTTTCCTAGGGCTGCCATAACGAAGTACCACAACCCAGGTGGCTTAAAACAACAGAAATTAATTTATAGTATTTATAGTAATTATCTTTCTCACAGGGTACTAGACACTGAAAAGTCTGAAAGCAAGGTGTTGGCAGGGCCATGCTCTCTCTGAAGACTCTGGGGAAAGTTTGTTCCATGCCTTTGTCTTAGCTTGTGGTGATGGCCAGCAAGCTTTGGCTTCCTTGGCTTGTGTATGTATCATTTCAGTCTCTGCTTTCCTTTGTTACATGACGTTCTCCTTGTATCTCTGCTTTCTCTTCTAATAAGAGTACCAGTCCTAATGGATTAGAGGCCTACGCTAAAAATACCATCTTAACCCAATTACATTTGGAAAGACGCTGTTTCCAGCCACATGTACGGGTACCTGGGATTAGGACTTCAACATATCTTTTTGGAAGACACAGTTCAACCCATAACAAGCATTTACTGTTAAAAAGTGAAAAGATGGTTTTTGTGTGTGGGGATGAACTATGGAGGACTTGATTGGAGTAGGTTTTGTAAATGAAAGTGACCCAGTAGAAGGGAGGATGGCTCTAGATGATACAAGGGATTGGGATTTCGGATCAGGAGCATTTGTGGAAAGATTAGCTTGAAAGGGGAGCAGGAGTTTGTTTTCTGAGAGAGTTGGCAAAAAATGGCAGTGATTGAAGCTGTAGATAATCATGTTTGGCGAGAAGTGTAGGAAACTGGTATGTGACCTTGGTGTTTTCAGTTACAAAGGAGACAAGGTTAGAGCTGCCTGATGACTGTCACTCTTGAGGCAGAGGTACATTGCAAGATGATGAGACTGTACTTTTCACAGGTTGGGGGCATGAATATTACTCATCTCAGTATTCATTCTTAAATGAATTCTACATTACTGATGTTAAAGATGGTACTTACGATTCTTGATTCACTTACATATTAGAACAGTGTCTTTAGGCTTTAAGAGAATTCTTACAATATGGAAAGGTTTTTAACAGGAGTTGAAATAAGAACTTTGGTTAATTCTGATTTTTCCCAGAAAGTCCATTTATCAAACCCATTACTTCACCATACTGTCCGTTTTTTGCTTTTCTGTATTTGAAATCACAGTAGAAACTTTAAACCAAGATAATGTTGTAAACTAAAAATAGGGCACATACAGTAAAATATGATAAAACACTGATTTTAGTTCCATAGATTCTTTAGTTTCTTTTTTAGTGTAGGGGTTAAAGCATGAGAATGTAAGCCCCAGTTACGAAAGGAGCATGTGGTCTTTGAAGGAGTAGTTATAGAAATCTGTGGCTTGTAGAGACCACCCTGGATGCTTGAGGCCTGGTCTACTGCCATGTGTCTATCAACCCTCACCCCCACTATTTTCACAGTATTCTCTAAGCTGCAGAGATTACAAGTAACATTGGACATGTTTACAGAAATGTTCTTGTGAATTTTTAATGCATTTATGCCCTTACCAAACTGATGTAGTGGCAATATATGATTTTACTGAGGACCCCGTCTGTCTTATGTAATCTTAGCTTCATCTTTTGCCTTGGTGGTAATTTCTTTTCTGGAAGTAGAAGAGATAAGGCATCAACACTATGGCCTTAATTCTAACCGAGGAAAAAGTGACTGGCTATGTGGGGGTGATAGAAATTTGAGAGGAAATTGCCATGTCATTTTGATGTTGTCTTTATAGATTTATGTGTGTGTGCGTGCGCGTGTGTTTCTCCTCTAGCTTTTCCATTATCCTAACTTAAATTACGTATTCTCCTTCCTCTGAATGCATACAATGTAAGTGGTGTGGAAGCGAGGGGATTCTGTAATTCTTACGTTAAGGATTGCACAGCGAATATGCCTACGTCCAGTAGAAATGCCATTTGAAGCATACTAACTGCCCATTTCTGGTGTTATTCTCCTCTTGACCTGCGCTTTGGTTTGCACATCCAGCTCTGCTACTTACACAGTTCTTATGTATATTCTGGGCTTAAATTCTTTCATTTGTTATATAAGGGATTGTGCCACATGAAATTTTAATAATTTGTAAGTATGCATTATCTGAAATCTTCTGTTAAATTTTAACGTATATATTCTGAGTGTTAAGAAAAGAGGTTGTTGCTTATGTTTAAACACCTCTGAGAAAAAGTTTGAATTGAAAGTGGTTTTTTTCCCTCCTGCTTTTGTACTTTTTTTTAGTAACTACTGAAAGACCAGTTTGTTCGGAGCCATATGAAATGGGCATTGTGAAATTCATTGGCAAAGTGAAGCCAGTTTTTAAGGATATGTCCTAAGGAGAACGTTTACTTTCTTTTTAGTATTTATTGTTGATTATAGTCTTGCAAAATCACGTAATCAGAGGCAGTAGAGCAGTAGAGCGCAGGAGGTAAGACTGTGGACCGAAGCGAAACTGCCTGCGTTCGAGTATTGGCTCTGCTGCTTCACAGCCGGGTGCAGTGAGCAGCCTCGTCTCTGCCCCTCACCATCCAGCACTAAGATGGGGATGAAAACTTCACTTGTATCCTAGGGTGGAGGTGAGGATCCCAGGAGCTTACACGTATAAGGCGCTGATAACAATGCCTACCATGTAATCAGGTAATATTAAGTGTTGGCTATTTTTACCTAACTGTATAATTAAATAGTTGTCTAATTATATAATCTCCCTTCGGGGCAGAATAGGCTGCTGTACTTGGAGGCCAAATAATTTATTTGGTTGTTAAGATTTTGGGCTGTAAGAAAAAACAAGTTATTCTACCTCATCTTTTGGCCATTTCTTCTAAATAACTGTTTATTTAAAAATAGAATACATTAGTTAAAACTTCAATACTAAGCAGGCTATTTACACAATGATAGAGCTTTATTTTTTATCAAGAATTACATATCTTAGCTGGCCCTTTAAACAAATAATACATTATATGTTAAAAAAAAGAAGATAGGAGGAAGGGAAAAATGAAGGGGGGGAAATAGGAGGGGGAGATGAACCATGAGAGACTATGGACTCTGAGAAACAAACTGAGGGTTCTAGAGG